TCAGTTTTCGGTGAATATATACCCAAAAAAAACTAGAACATAAGCTGAGCGATGGAATTGTTTGTAAGGAGTGTGAAATAGTAGACGGCCAGCGACAGTCTACAGAGGGGACTGGGAATGGTGGATACATATAGATTCTGTGTCAGTATCCAGAGGGGACTGATGGTAGACAGATGTACTGACTATGGGTCAGTCTTCATATTCATGTAAGGTATTACACTACTCTGGTCGATACAAGTAAACAGCTATCTCATTTTAAACTGTTCGCGAACTTACTAGGTTACTCACAATATATATAGTTTTTTTAGGGCTCTACGGCCCTAGATGAAACCGTTGCGAATACTGTGTCTGTTTGGAGTTATTCTTTTTAGGCCTAACTGGTATTGTTTTGGCCGTGGAATGACTGTTCGTCTCGGTTTTACTGTACACTGCACAGTGGGACTCAAGATTATGCAAGCTTAATTCCGGTCAGAACTTGTGTTTGCAGGTCGCTGTATCATTTTTGTGAAAGAGTACTATCAGGATTAACTGTCCCTAGTAGAGTACGTTTTAATTCATCCATTCATGTATGGAGGTATATGCGAATCTCATAGACGTATTACTGACTGTTATGCTGGAAACGAAGATGGTGTAATTATTTGCATATTTATTGAATTTTTGACAATCACAATATTGTTAACATGTTAACCAATCAAACAGAAAATAGGGTACCATCATGTTGTATATTTATTGAGATTCTAACAAACTCATTGGCATCCCTGCAGACGGCAGCCAATGTGAATTAAGTTGTGATACAATTTGAAATAAGTTTTTTTTTTTGTTAACTTCCCGATTATAATATTGACGTACTACACAGATGGCAGCCAATCATAACAAAGGAAATCAGAATCAACACACGGAAGCCACGTCGGTGCCCATGGCGTTCACTGACAATCGGAAGAAAACTCAACCAACAACACCTCGGAATTCTTTGGATTCCGAATTGGTTCCCGTAAGTCAACACGTCTATATAGTTGTCTTTTTTCTGTATGTATACATGAGTGAATGTATACATAATGCATGTGAATATGAGAATTCACGTTTTGTAGGTTCTATCAGAGATGGCGCATAGTTGATATATGCGATTTAATGTACTGCCGAGGAAACACAAAACAACCTGTCAAGCGCTTAGATATATACGTCGGTAGATCATACGGGTATGAAAATCGCACACGCCATGCAAAGTCAACTTCGTTCGAAGCACTTCATTCATCGGCGTGTGCTGCATGCAGATTTTTGTTTGCTGCTGATATGTACCTAGCCTTTTCTTTGCATGTTATCTTCCTCAGACCCCATTGGGACACTTCTCTAACCCGATCCCTCATCCTAAACCCCACATCCACACAAACAAAATCAAAAGCATCACGATCATCAGACATCAGACCATTGAAACCCAGGTTTTTCTTGTATTGTCAACTTATACTCTATCGTAACTCCACAGCAACACAACCACTCCTAAAATTATCACCATCATCAGACATTATACCAGTGAACGAATCCAAGTTTTCTAGTATTGTCTAACTCAATTTGTATCCTAATCCCACAGCCACCACAGAGTACGCAGACAGCAACCCCGAAGTCTCCAATGTTTCTGCCCAACCCTCATTTAAAGTCGAAAGACAGGTCAAAAAGCCCAACTCGGATGGAACGGGGTGTGAGTTTCGAGATTAACGGTGCATTTTGGTCCGAAGTCGGGGAGCGAGGTTTCGCACAGGCGACTACTGGCGCCTACCGGGTGGTGAAAATGGTCCCGTTGGCAGTGACACGGAATTTTGTAAGTCAATACGTATGCACTGATTGTACGTTTTATATATGACGTGAAACTGTGTATGGTACCTGAGACCGTTGATTACACAAATACAATTATTCAATATACACTCATACCCACGTCTATACCCAGGTCTTCCTCACGCATACACGCGTATTGTACACACTTGTTTGTCTGTGCAGGTTATGGAGCTGCTGCTGC